TTAGGAATTCCTGTACTAAAATGAATTAGGTGTGGAGATGGTGGATATTCTTGTCTCATTGTTACTTTAGAAGAGTTTTGTATGTGCTTAACTGTAGGTGTCAAGTTGTACTGAGGTAAATTCCTTTTTTTTCCTAGTTTCTTCAGAGCTTTTATCATAAAAGGATGCTGAAATTTGCCAAAAGGTCTCTCTGCATCAAATGAAGTGATCATGTTATTTTTGTCTTTGATTCTTTTTGTGTGCTGTGCAATGTTTATTGATTTGCCATTTTTGAACCATCCTTGCATCCTTGGAATAAAACTAACTTGATTGTAGTATATGATTTTTTTTAATGTGTTGTTGAACTTGCATTTTATTGAGAATTTTATGACTTTATTGAAGAAACTGACCTATAATTCTTTTTGTTGTATTCTTAAACCCAGTTTTGTTTTGAGTGTAATACTACCTTCATTAAATGAACTTTCCCTATCTTTTCCTCTGTCTAGAGTTTTTGTCTCTTCATGCTTTATTCACAGAATTCCTGAAAGCCGTTAAGGTCACAGTTGTCAGGTTAACTTCCTTAGGGAATCTTTACCCAGCCCTGAAACTAGATTTAAGGTATTTTCTTGATAAATTGTTGCATGACATCCCATAATTTTCTTATGGAAGTCATCCTCAGTAAGGATGCACTTGTGGAGCCTTTCGAGGCTTACTAATTTATGGACTGTTTTCCTTGGTAGAGTTTAAACTCTGGTATCTGGGGCTGTGGTCCATAGGGCTCATCGTCCAGGCTTAGTACAGTGTCTGCTGCACATTTCGTGCTCAATAAATACTTGAATAAGTGAAAAACAAAGGCTTTCCTGGTGCTCCAGCAAGTGTACTGTCTTCCCTCCTGAAAAGCCTTAACTGTAGTTTATATCCTACATTTCTGTGCTATAAAAGGTGCCCTTACGGCTACGGTCCTGTGAGAAGCAGGGCTAGTATGTCATCTTCTTGCAGCGTCACACAATAGATGTGTTTGTTACAAGAATTTGAGTTTATCTTCTGTCTCTACTCTTCTACCCCTGCTTTTGTCAATATGTCGCATATTTCTTTCTAGCTGTAAGTTGGAATGTAGTGGTTTTTTAAAGTACCTTTAAAATTACTATTAGAAATACCACAACTATGGCGTGTATACCTAAAGTATGGATATGTATGCCAGCTATTTCCATTGTAATCAAAGCTAATACCTTAAATTACCACTGCACACAAATTGGTTCATGAAGGTCTGTTCTCCAGTAAGCTTTTTTGACTTACTGGGAGGTGGCGTTGTTTTAATTTCTCCCTTGTAGAGAAAAATAGTTCACTATTTTATTCATTTAAGCAGACGTTACAATAATTTTGTGATGCAGAAAGTAACTAGTAAAAATAAATTGATACATGGGATTTTATTTCACAGTCATCCCTCCCCTCCCAATAATACCTGTATGCCTAACATCATAGTATTTTCAAAAATCAGCTTCAGTGAGATACAATATACTGGTTTTGTGTACAATTTAATAAATTGACAAACTTACACAACCACAATTTGCTTTTTTATGTTAAAAGTAAAATATTTGTAAATCACAATGTAATAAAGAGTAAGCAGGGCTGGGAAGGTGGCTCAGTGGTAGAGCGCTTGCTTCGCATTCTTGAAGCTTTGGGTTCGATTCCTTAGCACCACGTGAACAGAAAAAGCTGGAAGTGTTGCTGTAGCTCAAGTGGTAGAGCGCTCGCCTTGAGCTTAAGAGCTGAGGCCCAGAGTTCAAGCCCCACGACCTACAAAAAAAAAAAAAGAGAATAATAAGACATTGTTTTCTTCAAACTCCCAGTTACCTATACTGATTAATTATTGTGTTCTTGGTGGCATTTTATTTGATGGTGCTAATGGGACATTCAATCATGGGGCTCATATTTGAATGAGTAGCTTGAGCAATTGGACAGAAAATAGGACTGTTGTCTTCTGCAGATTGACTGCGGTGGAGTGTCTGTCATCACTTGAGGGGATAAGCAGGAAGTGAGGCAGGAAATGAGGTTAGGGTGGAGTGAGAGTAGATGACAAATTGGGAAGGGGAAGTAAACCGGAAGAGATGGCTGACATAATGGCAAAGCAATCAGTGTTCTGAGAAGATGTGAAATCCTTGATTTATTTTCTGAGTCAGAAGGCTTATTTGTTAAAACCTATGGATGGAAATAAAATGTTTCCTGGCCCACTTTTTTGGGAGACTTGGGGCTGCATTCTCAAGTCTTCATATTTCCCTTTTTGTGATTTTTTTTTTTTTGCTCTTTGTTCCTGAGTTTTAATTTTCACACCTTGTCTGGGTTCTTTAGTGGGTGGCTTCTTGCGTCTGTGGGGTAATGTGTTTACTGTGTGGTGGAGTGAGTAATATCGGGGTGCTTTGAGACCTTTCAGAGCCACAGGGAAGAAGCATTGTTTGCCTTATGAAGCTTCTGTTCAGAAAGCCCTTAAGCAGCAAATGATTCACGAGTTGTGATCAGAAGTAAGAAAGTAGAAGTCTACTTCTGAAGTGCAGGTAGAAATTACTAGCCTATGCGTATTTCTATTCAAAGGGCCTAGCTGAATCATGTTGCACATGGTCATTTTAGCTTTGTAGCAAGTTTCTGTAGTAGCATCTGATAAGGGTTCTGGCTCATGGTGTGAGTTTTTTGTTTTCTCTGAAACACTGCGCTTGATTTTAATGTGGATCCTCAAAGCTAGCCCTACAGCCTAAGGGACCTCTGCCCATCTTAGCAATTGTCTCCAGTTTATGACGCAGGACAGTCTTCATGGCAGAGAGGCCTCAAGTAGATATATTTCCCAGATCTGTGTCATGTAACTATTTTTGAATACTTAATATAGAGTAGATAATAATTCATGAAAACAGGGCTGTTTCAGTAGATAGAGAAATGGCAGTGTAAGAGCTTCAGCACTTGAGCAAATGAGTACATGAGTAGAATGAATGATATGCTTGTTGGATGTTTGTATGATCTTGTATTTCAGCTTCTTGGAAGGTTTAAGTAGCCTTTGGTGATTGTTCAACATAAAATGTGTGAAATCCCATCACAATTTCCTCCCATAGTCTCATGTGTAATAGTAAATGAATTTCAGGAGCTCTCCTTGTTTTTTTCCCTCTGCTTTGCAAGTGCTGCTCTTCCTATCACTGCTCCAAATCAGAGTACCTATATGTTACCTCTATGCTTTATACATAGTAAGGTCTCAGGAAAGAGAAAGAGACCTGGTTCTTGGTCAGGGTAGTATTTATTTAGGGAATCTGAAGTTACATTGACTATGCCTTTCTTGTCTAGTTTTATCATAGGAATTTTACTTCAGAGAAAGAAAAAACAAATTATTTCATTTTGGCAAATATTTTATTAAAGAGTAGACAGATGTTAATAAGACTGCTTCTTGCTAAACTTTGTGTGTGTGTGTATGTGCGTGCACACGCGTATGTGTGCGTGTATGCATGCTGGTATGGATTCTTGAACTTGGAGCCTCGACTTTCACATGGCATTTTTGCTTGAAGGTGGCACTGTACACTTTGGCTTCTGTGGGATTGCTGCCTAAGCTCATGTTTTGAAACTGGAAATCCTACAACTAAAAAGGTCAAAAGTGCATAGTGTAAAGTTCAGTGCCTATTAAAAGCTGAAAAACACAACCGTCTGTTATCTGACATTTAAAATACACATTCCTATTAGAAAACAAAGATAGGAGATCTATGTTTTATACAGATAACTAGGGCAGTTACTTTACCACATGTTCTTCTCCCTATTCCTGTACAGATCAGGGGTGGAAAGTGTGGGGGTCTTCATTAACTTTAGTAAATATCTATCTGAGGGTTTTAGAATGGGGAAACAGGTAGTTGAAAAGGAATTCCACATTTGATGATGGCTCTTCGTGTGCATAATTGAGTTTCTTGCTTTCTTGGTGAAGAAAGTAGTAAAGTTAGCTACATTTCTAAACTGAAATGAACCACAAGACTTTTCCATCCACACAGAGGGATTCTTATTTTACAGCACAGTTCCTTTGGTTCTTCATTTACTAATCCAGATTGACAGACCAGAGTCTTATTTTAGACTGATTGTGAGTCGTCTGGATATCAGATTGGTTAAGTGTATTTAGTTTCACTTTGGGGATACTTGGCATTTGTATGTGTCCAGATGTGTGTGAGGACTCCATGTAGAGACTTGTACTTAATTTTCCCACCATTGAAAAAAAACCTGTGAACATCATTTCTTGTTTATTCTCTTTGTATCTGAATTATGGATGGAAAATTTTTTCCTGTATTATCAATTCTAGTTTTTCTAAAAAAAATTTGTCTTAATTTTTCCGTTACATTAATTAAAAAAAATATTGACAGTCCTTATACTTCAGTTGTACAACTTTTAAATTTTATCCTTTTTTTTTTTTCTTGCAATGCTGAGGAATAAACCCAGAGCCTTATGTGTGCTAGGCGGGTGCTCTACCTCTGAGCTTCATTTCCAGCCCTGGTATTTGTAATGTGCAGCCCTTTATTGTAGATTCCAGCATGGATAGTTCATGTTCCCAGAGGACACATTAGCATTGAATTCTAAATGACCTTGTAGTCTCTATTACAACAATCAGGAAAAAAAATTAAGATAAGTACATGTAGGAAATAATATTTTTCTATAGCTGACAGAGAGAAAAGGGAGAACGAACAAAACAGAAAGATTTTTGTTAATACCAGTGGAAGATGTTTAGTCAAAGTTCTCCCCTGACTTGAAAGCGAAGTTGCAGCTGATAGTACCAGATAAAGGGGACCATCATTTATTGGGGCACAGATGGTTACCACTTGTTACTCTCTGCATCGTGGACCTAAATGTACCCTCGATACTACCCATTTACCTGTGGCTTTTATTTGGAAATTTGGAAAAGCCCCAATGCTGTTTTGCATGTAATTGAAGTTAGAAAACATGTTAGGAAAAGCTGTTCTGACTGAGTAGAAAACAAATAATTGTATTCTGTTTCTGATCTTCATTTATAGCACCAGCAACAAGTGGTGCAGGCTGTGGAGCGGGCCAAGCAGGTGACCATGGCAGAACTGAACGCCATCATTGGGGTACGTGGCCTTTCCGTTCTAGCTCTAATCTCAGTGTTTATCCTCAGCTCTCTTGCTTTCTCTTTAAAAAATTTATTCCAACAAAGGCACAAAAACAAAACAAAAAACCCAGCAAAAAACAAAAACCAGTAGATGACCACAAAGTAGAAATCAACAGTTTGCCTTTAATATCCTGAGAAATTTGATGGCTGGTTCAGAAAGTTGGGATCACATTCTTTGTGATTTTAGTTCCTGAAATCTCTTCCCTAAGGTGGCTGGGTTGTTCTTTTTCCTATTTCTTTCTTTTGCAATCAGCTTCTGTTGTTAACCTAGGGCAGAAAAAAAGGTACAGATTGCCCTGATGTTAAAATGACCTGATTTCTTCCATCTTTCCTCAAATGATGTAGCCTGTCTTGATAGCATTTTTAGTGAAATATATATTTTCACATCTCCTCTGCCACTTTTCCCCCCTGTGATCAGTGATTCTTATGGGCTAGTGTCCATTTGTAGGAGAAATAACAGGTGAACTCCACACTTTTGAAAAATTCATTGGCTTAGAACATCATTCTCTAGCAAGTAATAGTGATAATATTGCATAGAAATCCAGTTGGACGTTATAGGTTTGTGCAGTCAGTCCAACAGCACTTAAATTTTTGTTCTTTCAGACTAAGTTAACAAGTAATAAAGTTGTGTGCTAAAGAAAACTTAGAAAAAATAATGAAGCCAAGTAGTCTTAGTTTTAAAGAGCACAATGTTCATTTTTATATGGTAAAAGCAGTTTCTTACCTTTTTCTAATGAAGGCACTACAACTATCCTTTTCTCTTTCTGCCTCTTCCCAAATAATTTCTTTTGTGTATAAATTATACAGAAAAGTCTTCTCTTTTTTCCCCTTAGTGTATCAAACATATTTTGAAATGCTAATTATTCCATTTACTTTCATTAAAATTCAAATTGCTGAGTGAAGATGTGGATAAGGGTCGCCTGATAATCAATCCAAGTGAAGATATTGCTTCAATTATGCCTCTGTCTTTTAACAAGGAAATCAGAACTCTGGGAACACTGCATTGGTGCGGGCAGAGGAGTCTGATTGTAGCTTGTTCTTTAATGGGCTATTTGGAGCTCTATTTTGTGTCCCTCTGACCACAAGAAAGAAATGGTAGTAAATTAGCAGACATAAATGGAAAAGAGTAACCTTTATTTCCTCCAGACTGCTCCTTGAAAGATGAGGCTGAATCAGAAATGCCACGTAAGAACCTGGGGTAGCATTTATCATACATTTTCTAGCGTAGACAGGACTCGGGGGACATGGGGATGAATACATTTCATGATTAGTTTAATTTCTTTAAACGGAAGAAAACAGCAATATCTTATTTTTATTTAATGAAAGAGCTTCCATTTTAATAGCTAAGCATGCATTTATATACCAGCTCTGCTTGATTGAAGTGTTGGTACGTGTGAGTGCATAGTGCTTGTTAGAATGGTATATATGTTTTTGTTACTGTATCTCCCACAGGTCATAAGTGATAGAGCCTGCATTTGTCACTGTATGATCTAGCGGTTATAGAAAGAATGTACAGCGTACAGTCCAGTAGGAGAGCTTGCAGAGTCATTTTTAGCTTTGCGTATATCATTTGTGTGAATGGCTAAAAGTTAGCCATTCTACTTGATGTGTGATTGACAGCCTTTTCTAGAAAAACAAAATGCTGTTGCTGTTGTTGTTGTTTGGGATTTCTTCCCTTTTTTTTTTTAGTGCTGAACAATAAGATTAAGTTTAAAACCACATTGTGTTGGATGTTGTTTAAAAATGAAGAAAGACATGTCATATGATGGGTCTGTTTAATGTCCTTTCATGTCTTATTTAACATGCTTTCTTTTGAATGGGATGACGCATTGCCTTTTCTTAGGGGAATGACGATTTAGATTGGCTTGTAGTCGAGTTACTGATGTTTCCTACATAAGGATTTAATTGCTAAAATAAAGCTAGTTTAATTTTGTGATCCAAAACTTGTTCGAAGAACTAAGTAAACAAAACTGCATACTATTAAAGCAGCATGTGCTGTAGCTGATAGATCTTGGATCTTGTAGGCCTTAAACTATTTGTATTTGGACAGAGAATGAAGCAAAATCATATAATCTGGTTGTTCAGAAAAAACAGATTGCAGAAAGATTAAACAAGCCCAGCAGTTTCAGGGAACCACAAATCTGAGTGAGAAGGAGAGTGCTCAGTTGCAAACTTAACTTGTTGAATTTGTGCTGTTTTAGTTCCCTTTGCCTTTCCCAGTCCTGGTAGTGCCTCTTTGCCTAGGAGTTTTTGCAGACGTAACATTGTGGAATTTGGAAACACCTGCTCTGTGTCCTCTTGTGCATTTATTACTATATCTTGATGTATCATTTTGAACAGCTACCAAAATGATCCACCAGCCTGGTTTAGCATGTAGTTGGCAACGCGTCTTTGCATTGAAGGAATGACAGTTTTTCTCCCAAAGGCCCATCTAAGCCCCATGTAGACCTACCTTTATTTATCTCTACATAGGTATCTGTTATATGCACACACCATCCAGAGAAGAGCAACTGTTCCCATATTTGATGTAATCTGATGAAGTACCTTTTTAACTCTGCAATATTATTCTACCTTCTTTGGTAAATGAGCGGAATCAGTGATCCATGCAGTTTAAATGCACAGTGCTGGAATGAGCCCGAAGCCTGGAGAGGCGGCTGTTCTCCTGACAAGAAGCTAGTTGTGTTTAATGGAATGAAACACAGTTATCATGATTTCTTTCACAGGTCATGTGCAGTTTAAAACTGTTGATAGATGGAAATAAGTTAAAGATCATTTATCTTTTATTTATAAGGAACAAAACCAGGGAAATTCTTGTGTTGTTTTTTGATAGCTAATGTTTTGTGTGTGTGTTTTTTTAATCATATATCTATCCTTGAAGTGTTTCCGGAGGTCCCCCCAAATGAGTTGGGAATGTTATGTGTCTGGTTTGATCTGCCATGTGTCCTAGTAGCCACTGTTTTTAAATTAGAATCTCTGCAAGATCACACTGTTGGAACAACACATAAATTGTAGTTTTAAATCAGTAATATGATCTAATTAGAAATGATGTTTTCATTTCCTGTCTTATTAAATTGAGTCATCTGACTATCTTAAAATGGCTTTTAAATCCATTACACTATATAATCAGCGCATGCTGTGTGAATGCGGTTACGCCTAATAAGGGAGGCTAACTTGAAACCCATAAGAATTTTAACAAAGAAACGACCATTAAGGAAAGGAGTTTGTGAGTATGTACTTTGGAAGGAAAGTGTTTGGCTTTTAAAAATAGAAAAATGCAATTTTTTAAGTCTCCCCACCTTCTTTATTTAACCTCTCTAAGAAACAGAAAATGATAGAAATGCATGCATTGAAATAAAAAGCAACCCCCCCCAATAAAAAAGAACCTCTAAGAACAGGTATGTCATGGTGTTAGAAAATGCAGTTTAGCAGTAGAAATGCTGAACCTCAATTTTTAGCAGTGACATTTTAATGATAGGAAGTCTGCAAAATTATTTGCCATCAATTGTGAAGGCAATAACAAGCCTTGGTGGTTTTTCACACTCTCTGTGTTAAGTGCTTTCAGAATGACAGCGTAAACTGTGTTAGAGAACTCCAAGGAAGTAAAACTGATTAAAATGTTCATGCTTGAATGGGGCTGATGGAATAGTTCATTTGGACTTTCTCTACCTCCTGCAGCTCAAGCTGAAATATTAAAATTCAGTGGATTTAAATCTCTCTCCTCTCAGCTCAGGAAAAAAACATTACATTTTAATAGGTTTTAAACCCATAATTCATTGGTTTGGAGCAGCACTATTAAATCTATTTAAATATTACTTGTATTACTAAGGAAATGATTTAAATGACTTTGCCTTACCACACTATGTGTTTGAATTATTTTTAAGAAAGACGGTATCTTGAAGGGGGCTATCTCCCCTCTTAGCGCTTTGTTTTATTGTCTCTATCATATGATTGACCTTTAAATTGTGTATATGTGTGTGTGTGCATATTTATTTATTCCAAATTAACATTACAGCAGAGAGTCTCTCAGTGTGGTAATTGAAAAAAAACTGATATCCTACCTTTTTCCTTATGGGTTTCAAAATAATCATTTTAAATTTCAGAGACATGTCGATGAATTATTACAGCAGTTTACCTTGTTACTTGTTTAGTTGTTTTTTTTGTTTGTTAGTCTTTGTTTTGTTTTGAGGCATTACCCTGGGGTGTCTGGTTCTCCACGTATATCTGAGGCTGGCCTCAAGTTTGGGATTCTCGGATGTCAGCCTCCTCCACATAGACACATGCCTCCAGGCCATCGTTTTGTTTCTTTGAAATGAAATAGCCATTAGGCAAAACATCTCAAAAGTGTAAATGTTTGGAGATAAAAACTGTGTGTAGATGTGCATGCCCCTGTGTGTGCGTGCGTCTGTGTGTCCAGCCCTGCCGAAGTGCATGAGATGTGTGGACCTTAGAGTCTCTTATAAAACTTGAAATTAAAAATACAAGTTTGGAGCCGAGCACCAGCTACTCAGTAGAGTACTCAGAAAATGCCGGAAGTGGTGCTGTGGCTCAAGTGGTCGAGGCTCAGGGACAGAGCCTTGGCCTCGAGTGAGTTCAAGCCTCAGCACCAGCAAAAGAAAAAAGAAAAAAAAAAGTTTTTTGTTGTTTTTTTTTAACAGAAGCAAAAATGTAGTAAGCATGCAAGGCAGTATTTTCATGTAGCCTGTTTTGAGCCTGGTGATGTCCGTAGTACTGAAGCCGTGTCCTGGGTGGGTCTCCCTTGTGCCCCTGAGTACTTGGCTCTAGTCATCGCCAAGGTCCCAAGGCTCAGTGGGAGCACAGTAGGAAGAGCTTGCTTCTGCACCAGCTCTTTTTGGAGACCCTTAGTGTGGGAATCCACTCTGCCAAGGGCTCCAGCTGGGTAGAGAGCATCAGTTGCCCATCAAAGCCATCTGCAGCCAAGTTCTGGCCTTCCACCTACTA